TAAGGAGAGAGAACAATAAAAGAACAGGAATCAAGAAGACAGAAGATAACTTTTCGTAGACTAACCTTAACCCCGACTTCCAGTGAAGAATATGCAATTTTATTCGTATCCGCCGAGGAAATAAAGGTCCTTTCATATTAAGTCTAATTTCATATTTATTGTCTATTGCTTGTATGGCTATATTCTGTTGCTTTGAATGTAGGAATGACAATACGATTTGCCTACAGATAACAGATTTCAGTGACCTAAATGTAAGGTAATAACATGAGATACTATAGATGATTGCTTTAGATTCGATAGGCAGGAAGTTGGGCTTGGGGATATTTGGTGGTCATATTGATCCTTAGACATTGTCCCTGGCAAGTCTGCGCTTAGATACCTACCTTAGAGGCAAGGAAGTTACCCACAAAGGCTAGTTAACATATTGAAATCGATATTTGCTCAAGATATCAACGTGCGAAACGTTACCAAAATTCTTCAAGAAATACACAGTAGTATTTATATATGGAGACACTAACATGATTCATTTTTGGATGGACGCAAACTGCTCAATATAAAGTATGAAGATGACAATGTGTTGATTGGAGACATTGAGATAAAATTACAGCCCTCTCACATCCCTAGAAAATGTAGTAAATAAAATCGAGAAATAATAGTATTTCTATCTATAAAAGGCAGGATGTGTGTGTGTGTGTGTAATGAATGCACGACCACAATTTACGACGGATTTCACCGAAATTTACAAGCACATGCTCCAAGTTAGCAGAAAAGGCCAAGACCGACTTTGCATTTCCCAATTCTCATCGATAGTGAAAATAATCGATTTTTTCATGCTTCTACGGAAGTTTTCATGTAGTTTGCGGCCATTTTCTACTGGACAGAGTGAGAGCCTTTAGCTGGCTGCCACGAATAGGCAGGAAGATTTTATTGGCCAGCGTGAGAGCTAACAGCTGACTGACACGAATGTTAACTAGCATGCAAAAAAATATCGATAGCTGCATTCGTCAAAAGTGGGAAAAATTTAAATCTGCATGGCACTTTACTTCAATTGGCTCATTCGCTTGCTTAAACTCAACGTTGATTCTGATTCCGCAGAACTGGGTTTTGTGTCCATTTTGTTTAGTTCTTTTTTCGTAATAGATTTAATGTTTAGTATAAAGCTTTGGTCTTAGTGGCTTTACTGCCTTGCTTGTCGTGAACAAGATTTATAAAAAAATAAGTACACAAGGTTAAACATTTGGGAAATGTTTTACCAGAGAATTTGGGCACTTAATCACGAAAGAAATATTGGAATAGTAAAAGTTATATTTTCAAATTTAAACAAAGTTATAAAAAACAAGAAAATGTCTTTAGTAACAAAGAAAGGTTTTTTGAATTATTATGTAATATACATGTTACTATATAACAGTGAATGTTAGAAAATGCCCTCACTGAGAAGTCTAGAGGCTAGAATAATAGGGTTAGGGAGGAGCACGTTTATATGTACAGTGGGTGTGAGCAAGGAAGTCTTTAGAAAATAGAAAGAAAAAATATCACATAACCAGAATGAGCCAAAATACCAGACTTACATAACAAGGAAGGAATACTTGCAGAATTTAACAATTACAGGACATTGCGAAGTTAAGACGGACATTGGGAAGCAACAGGCCTCCAGTCTAACGAGCTTTAATGTCGGAACGCTGGACGGGCAGTATGATAGAAAGTATAGACATTACTAAAGGCTATGTGGGTTTGAAAGTTGTGGAAAAATATAAAGATAGAGAGAAAAATAAGGAGTAATCTGTCTAGCTCGATTGTGTAAATAGTTGAAAGAAAATGGATTAGCAGTGATAATCCCAAAGAAAAAGCTAAATGCTACAAAGGACAGTAAGTTATCAATTATTAATTCATTATATCGGTTGACAAACACGTACATGTCTGGTGAGGTCACCAATTCAGAAGCAATCGGTATTTAATCAGGAATACGAACAGGAGAAAATATAATGTCGTAATTTATATAATCATTTCAATGTCTTAGTCGCATTAGCAATTGACAATCATCAAGCGAATCACAAGTCGAATCAAAACTACGTCAAAATGTCTGAGAAATGGTTCAGGTAATGGATGTCAACATTGCAACAACATCGGACCATGACAAGAAAATTAGCAAAGGTGTAGCAACTCTATAAACATGTTGCACATGACCTCAGTGAAAGTCAAAGTTCGACGTTGTGAAGTGTGTTCTGTGTTGCTCCAGTGAAATTCGAATGAATTTTCCGAATAGTTTTTTTTTTTATTTTTTTTTTGATAATCAATTGATCATTGATAGCAATCTTAAGCACATTGGCTGGATCATGACGAAGGACCCAAACATTTTTTCAAATCTGAAATTCCACCAACAGAACATTATGTTGACTCTGTGCTAGTCCACTATTGGCGTTATCCATTATAGCTTTCGGGGATCTAACAAAGAACATCACTGCTGATGTTTACTGCTATAGACTGGACGAAATGCACGTTCAAGTAAAACGCGACTGACATTGCTTAATCGACGAGATCCAATTCTGCTTCAAGACAATGCTCGGCCAAATGTTTCCAAGATTACACTGCGGAATCTCACAGAATCGGGATTCGATACTTTGGCACATCCAACGAATTCCTCTGATCTTTCTCCCCCTGATTGATCCTTTTTCAACCATCTTGACACTGTTCTATCACAAAAGACGTTTCGTTGTAAAGATGTAGAAAATGCACTCAAAGATTTCCTGGCGATTGGACATTTTAATGTTGCCTATACAGACAGAATTAACATTGTGATACAATGGCAGAAATGGGTTACTACTTTGAGTGATTTAAACATTTTTTTTCAATAGGTTAAGGGCCCAATGTGATACACGCTTGGGTGATTTTGTCGCTTTCGATTCAGGACTGACTAGGCAGAAAATTTTCTCTCAGGCTGTCATTTCTTTCTACGATAGACTGATTGCTTACTAGGCTACAGCACAAAGTCTATTCTGCTATTGAAACCCATTGTTGTTGGGGAATATATAGATTCATACCTTTTCCAAGAGAATTTGCTCGTAAATTAATGTAATGAACTCGACTAAAATTCGAACCTGGCTCTCCGATTTCTTCTTCCATGCTGATATCGGTTACACTACATCGCACTCTTTGAATGCATGAATTCAGGAAAACATTTTTTAATCTAATGTGACACTATTTAGCGGTCGCGTGAAAATTAATAGTGAGAAATAATTAAGACGAGAAGAAGCTGAAATAATTAAGGCGAGTAGAAGCTATCACGAAAAGACATACTGAGCGATTTTATTTTCATTTGCGAAGGAAAGTATTTTTTTTTTCGCAGAAGATAGGAAATTCGTAAGATCTCGGATCTGTCGGAATTAATTTATGCTACGAGGCGGCGAATAAAAGATAGCCATCGGCCTATGGCAATAATGAAAATTTCAAATTGGTCAAGTGGCCTACAAAACAGAATTCTGGAAGATAATCGTAATCAGGTCACGTACTGACTGAGAAAGGCATCAGCTGAGGCCACCCAAGAAAAGGGGAAAGATTAAACCATTAACTATCCTTCGGAGATATCCTTTGGTTTTGGGAAAAAACACCTGTTTTATGTTCAGACCTGGCCATGATAAGAGTTTGTTGTCTGGACAGATTGTGGCGACGGAAATACGAATGCATTGAGGACACAAAGAGATTCACTTGACCAACCCCGATGATTATTTGACGAAAATCTCGTTGACGAATTCCAGATGACATCCAGTTAAGATAGAGATTAGGGACTACACTACGAGTCTTGGGAGAACTGCTCGGGTAAAGGAAGGAAAAGAAAGAAAAAAGAAAAAAAGAAAAAAAAAGAAGGGAAGATAATTTTTTTTTCTTTGAGCGATACTTTTAGCCAGTCTATCCACACCCACGCTGCTGAGCGTTCATTAGCTGAATGGTGGCGTGATAGGTAGGCGAAGGCAAACATATGAGAAGGAGGGGAGGTCTGTTGACGCCTCTCATGGGGGTTGGTGTGAGATACCACTGTGAGAGAGAAGGGAAAACTGTTGACGCTCTCTGAGGGGATTGGTGTGAGATACCAATATGAGATAGGAAGAATTTGGTAGGAAGATTCTCTTAAGAACGCCTCTAGGGCAGAAAGTAATGGACTTCCAAAAATGGAATTAATAAATTTTCCTGCCCGAAGACAAAGAAAATCCTTATTGTGGATTTAGAATTATCGAGGAACTCAAACCCCGACAAGCCCACACCCGGTTTTGGTCGGCGTCCATATAAACAGAGTCGCAGCGAGTAGATGGCAGCAGTTAGTTAGTTGCAGTTGGAGTTCCGAGGAGACGTAGACGCAGACAGAGTTGAGCTGTGAGCTCTGAGACCAGCCTCGCAGGAAGCTGACTGAAGATCCACGCATCCCGACTTCGACTTCTAACCAAGAACAATTTATTTTTGAAGAACGACTTAGACTCACACCACCAAAACAAGTTTTACGAATATCATCTGAAGACACCAAAAAACAGTTATCGAAAAACAACTTAAGGTATTAAGACTCGCCTAAAAATGCAAAGTGTCACGTATCCATAGTAGTGGTTTGGGAGAAAGATGCAGTCCTGTATTCAGAAACCAGATATAAAAATATTTGTTATTCTTTTTTTAACACATTCGAACTTTTCGAGTTGTTACTTTATTTTCTTTTGCATATACTTGTGCGGTGTTACCTTTGCTCGGACTCGGCTTGCATTAGGGCCCGGCGACTGATTGATTTCGTCTACCTAAGATCAAATCACAACGTGAGTAGGTTAAATTAGAAGTCAAAGTAGTTAATTCGGTAACCAGACGTTGGAGGCGAGCTGGGAACGACAAAGCTGATACCGAATCTAACCAGATTCCCATCCGAATCAGCCAAGGGTTAGAACGTCACATTTGGTGCCGTGACAGCAGGATCACGTCACATTTGGTGCCTTGACCAATACCAGGTCACATTGGTCGTTCCAGGATAGCACAGGGGCAGAGAGGCCGGAGTGACGTCATTTTTTATTCTCACGTCCTCATTCTCACGTCTTCATTCTTCATTCTCACTTCGTCATTCTCATATCATAATTCTCTATTCTCATTTCTTCATTCTTCATTTATCATTCTCATTCTTTATTCTCACTTCTTCATTTTCACTTCTTCATTTTTATTCTCACTTATTTATTCATTATTCTCATTTTTTCATACTTAATTGTCATTTCTTCATTCTCCATTCTCAATTATTCATTCTCTATTCTCATTTCATCATCTGTGATTCTAGTTTCTTCATTCTTCATTCTCACTTCTTAATTTTAACTTCTTCATTCTTTATTCCCACTTACCCATCCTTCATTCTCATTTCTTCATTCTCCATTTTCACTTCTTCATTCAGCATTATTAATTCTTCATTCTAACTCCTTTATTTTCACTTCTTTATTCTTCATTCTCACTTATTTATTCTTCATTCTCATTCTTTCATTCTTCATTCTCACCTATTCGTTCTTTATTCTCATTTCTTCTTTCTTCATTCTCAATTATTTATTCTTCATTCTCATTCTTCATTCTCACCTATTCGTTCTTTATTCTCATTTCTTCTTTCTTCATTCTCACTTATTTATTCTTCATTCTCATTCTTTCATTCTTCATTCTCACCTATTCGTTCTTTATTCTCATTTCTTCTTCTTCATTCTCACTTATTTATTCTTCATTCTCATTCTTCATTCTCACCTATTCGTTCTTTATTCTCATTTCTTCTTTCTTCATTCTCACTTATTTATTCTTCATTCTCATTCTTTCATTCTTCATTCTCACCTATTCGTTCTTTATTCTCATTTCTTCTTTCTTCATTCTCACTTATTTATTCTTCATTCTCATTCTTCATTCTCACCTATTCGTTCTTTATTCTCATTTCTTCTTTTCTTCATTCTCAATTATTTATTCTTCATTCTCATTCTTTCATTCTTCATTCTCACCTATTCGTTCTTTATTCTCATTTCTTCTTTTCTTCATTCTCACTTATTTATTCTTCATTCTCATTCTTCATTCTCACCTATTCGTTCTTTATTCTCATTTCTTCTTTCTTCATTCTCAATTATTTATTCTTCATTCTCATTCTTTCATTCTTCATTCTCACCTATTCGTTCTTTATTCTCATTTCTTCTTTCTTCATTCTCACTTATTTATTCTTCATTCTCATTCTTTCATTCTTCATTCTCACCTATTCGTTCTTTATTCTCATTTCTTCTTTTCTTCATTCTCACTTATTTATTCTTCATTCTCATTCTTCATTCTCACCTATTCGTTCTTTATTCTCATTTCTTCTTTCTTCATTCTCACTTATTTATTCTTCATTCTCATTCTTTCATTCTTCATTTCTCACCTATTCGTTCTTTATTCTCATTTCTTCTTTCTTCATTCTCACTTATTTATTCTTCATTCTCATTCTTTCATTCTTCATTCTCACCTATTCGTTCTTTATTCTCATTTCTTCTTTCTTCATTCTCAATTATTTATTCTTCATTCTCATTCTTTCATTCTTCATTCTCACCTATTCGTTCTTTATTCTCATTTCTTCTTTCTTCATTCTCACTTATTTATTCTTCATTCTCATTCTTTCATTCTTCATTCTCACCTATTCGTTCTTTATTCTCATTTCTTCTTTCTTCATTCTCACTTATTTATTCTTCATTCTCATTCTTCATTCTCACCTATTCGTTCTTTATTCTCATTTCTTCTTTCTTCATTCTCAATTATTTATTCTTCATTCTCATTCTTTCATTCTTCATTCTCACCTATTCGTTCTTTATTCTCATTTCTTCTTTCTTCATTCTCACTTATTTATTCTTCATTCTCATTCTTCATTCTCACCTATTCGTTCTTTATTCTCATTTCTTCTTTCTTCATTCTCAATTATTTATTCTTCATTCTCATTCTTTCATTCTTCATTCTCACCTATTCGTTCTTTATTCTCATTTCTTCTTTCTTCATTCTCTTATTTTTCTTCATTCTCATTCTTTCATTCTTCATTCTCACCTATTCGTTCTTTATTCTCATTTCTTCTTTCTTCATTCCTTATTTATTCTTTCATTCTTCATTTCACCTATTCGTTCTTTATTCTCATTTCTTCTTTCTTCATTCTCAATTATTTATTCTTCATTCTCATTCTTCATTCTTCATTCTCACCTATTCGTTCTTTATTCTCATTTCTTCTTTCTTCATTCTCACTTATTTATTTATTCTTCATTCTCATTCTTTCATTCTTCATTCTCACCTATTCGTTCTTTATTCTCATTTCTTCTTTCTTCATTCTCACTTATTTATTCTTCATTCTCATTCTTTCATTCTTCATTCTCATTTCTTCATTCTTCATTCTCATTTCTTCATTCTTTATTCTTATTTTTTCATTCTTCATTCTCTTCTTTCTACTCTTCCATATTTCTTTTCTTTTCTTTCTTCCTCTCTTTCTTTCTTTTCTTATTTCCCTATATTCATTCTAACTTTTTTTTCTATTCTATTCTATTCTATTCATTCCTTCACTTTTTCCTTCTCCGAACTATACGTCTTCCTTCATCTTTTCCTTTCATCTGTATCTTTCTTCCTTGTTCACTTTCCTTCTTCATTTCTTTCCCTTCCTTCCTATATTATTCCGCTTATTCTTTTAGCATAACACGCTGTCGAGAAAAGCTGAATGGACGAACCTATTGCAAATTCTGTCCGTGTGTCTTACATTCAATTTCCCATTAATACTCTTTGGATAGGCATGAATATTTCTTGATAAACTACTAACCAGCTATTAGTTAAATAGATGGGTAGACTGAGATCTCTAGCTTTAGGTGGCCGCCAATATTTCAAAAGCACCAATTTGAAATAAAAATTCTTGGATAAAGCTAGAGGAGTCACTCCACTATCTTTCACATTTATCGGTTTAGTTAGGGATTACGCCTTACTGTTTTTACTATCTTTCTTTTTACACCGGTGTGCACTCTGTACAAGGGCTGATACCCACTCCGGGCTACGGAGTAAGAGGCACAAATGCGGATATGTATGAAAGATAAGGGTTAACCCTAGACTTGAACAGGTTGAGATTGTAGAGATTGGAGAAGTAAAGTCTTTGGAGTCGGTTCCACAAGGTAGTGGCTTGTGGGAAGAAGCTTCTTGAGTAGAACTTGCAAAGGAATGTGGGTGGGTCGCTGCAATGTGCCTGACATAGCGGGTCTTATCCGTGAAGTTTAGGACTAAGTACTAAGGGGTGAAGTTGATCTGACAACTGTACATGTAAATAGGCGTAGACCAGAGAGAGGCTTGCGACGTCTCGTCGGTGAGAAATGGGTTGCAGAGCGGAAAATAAATCCCCATCCACCAGGACGCGTAGTCGCTTTTGGACCCTATCGAGAATGAAAAGTGAAGACTGGGTAACACCCACCCATAGATGTCACCTTACCCAAAATAAGCCTTTGCATTGATAGTAAATGAGAAACATCTAGTGCACTGTGAAATGCAGTTACTACTAAGTTGTGAGTTCCATCCTCACTGAGTGATCCATAGATTCGGATACGCTTAGTAAATCGTTGTTGTAAAATGAAATGCTTTTGATTGGAAGTAGATATAGACAGCAAGGTTCCCCGAGAATTTCAGGAGTATAGAATTGAACGTCATTGAATTGGATTCCTTCATCTTTAATGCATCGAGTTCATGAATTTAAAGGAATTTATATTGGCAGTTAGGTCCCATAGGTGTATTGTTTAAATTAGTAGATATAACTATAAGTTCTATGCTAACAGGTTCTTTTCTCGCCATGCTCGCTTGTGGAAGCCTCCTTCTGTTTATTGCTTTCCTGGCTACTACGATGTTCAACAAAAATCATTGTATTCTATCTGATCAGATCCTTTTCTGTTATTATCCTCTTATCAATAAACATTTTAACAGTTTCTTTCACTTTCACTTTCACTTTCAGTTAACTATTTGCGTATTAGCGGCTTTATCGCTTCGTTTGAAGTGAAACGGCTATAAACTTATTTTCGTCATTTATTTCCGTCTTTCCCTTGACTCTACCACTTTCTCCATTTTCTTTATTTTACTCTTTCTTTTGCGTAGTATCGATTTTCTCCCACCTTTCTTTTATATTTTCTTTCCTCTTTTTGCATTTCTGTCTCATGCTTGTTATTTTTCCATATTTCATCTTATAATTTTTCACATAGTTTTTCCTCACCCTGTCGGCTTGGCCTTCAGAATAAGCCGATTGCACCTCTGCAAAGGGGTATATTGCACCCCACACGCCCGCCAAATGAGGCATCCTGGGTAAGACGATGAATTACATCCCACAGCAAGGCCTCTGATCAGGAGACATTGAGGAGCGTGTAACAACCCCTTAATTGCTGGTGTTCCCAGGTAAACCCTGAGCCGAGCTGGTAGCACCTGTTGGAGTCCCAGCTATGGGCAAATATTCATCCCCCAAACTGGGGTCAAAACATTATGAGAATTTAAAGATATATTTTAATACCATCAATACATTTTTTGTAAAAAATTAATAGCAAGAAAAATTGTTACCAGGAATACATTATTATCAGCAATTCATTTTTGAAGAAAAAAATATTAGTAGCAATACATTTTCGAAAGAAAAACATATTAGCAGTAATACATTTTTGAAGGAAAAAATACTAGCAATACATTTTTTGGAAAGATTTTACCAGCAATATATTTTTGAAGGAAAAACATATTACCACCAATATATTTTTGAAGGAGAAGCATATTACTAGCAGTAAATTTTTAGACAAGATATTACCAGCAATACATTTTTGAAGGAAAAACATATTACCACCAATATATTTTTGAAGGAGAAGCATATTACTAGCAGTAGATTTTTAGACAAGATATTACCAGCAATACATTTTTGAAGGAAAAACATATTACCACCAATATATTTTTGAAGGAGAAGAATATTACTAGCAGTAGATTTTTAGACAAGATATTACCAGCAATACATTTTTGAAGGAAAACATATTACCACCAATATATTTTTGAAGGAGAAGAATATTACTAGCAGTAGATTTTTAGACAAGATATTACCAGCAATACATTTTTGAAGAAAAAAATATTACTACCAATACATTTTTTTTAAATATTACCAGCAATAAAAATCTTGTCAGCATTAAATGAGCCATTGAATTTGATATGCCCAATACCAAGCCGAACCAAACCAGAACATAGTTCTCCCTTCTATTTTCTTTTTTTTACATGGCCCTCTTTTTTCTTTTATATTTTCCCCTTGGGAATACCAGTTGCTGTATGCTTCGATGTGCGGGTGGTATAATAGATAAGGGTTCCAAATGAGAAATTGGAGAGTCGAGTTCGATTCGAATTACAGTCAGGTCCATTATATTAACTCACGCACAAATACACTTGGGAAATATATGAATCCATCTCTTCTCAAATCTAGTTATTTGTTGAAAAGTAGAACTTGTATCTAAAAATCATTATTATCTTAAAAATATTTTTAATACAATTTTCACACCCCCAAAAATATTCTTGCAATCCAAAAATATGTATTGGCTTTAAATGACCTACAAAGTGTTGATAAGCCGTAAATAATCTAATCACTCCATCTCTGATATTTTTTTTTTATTTCCTTCACATAGTTTTTTCATTCATATATGTTTTCCTTCAGTTCTTTCTCTTTTTCTTTCTCTTCTCTCTATTCTTTTTCTTTGTATAGATTTCTCTTCCCACCCCCGACTTCACCCTCTATTGTATTTTACTTTCTTTTATTATTTCTGTTTATCCATCTCTCTTTTCTTTATTAAATACTTTTTTTCTTTTTCTTCATTTACTTCGCTCTCTACTCTTTCCTCTTCTCTTCTTTCATTTTTACCTTTTTCTCATATCCATTACTTCCTCCCCCACCATTTTCTTTCACCTTTCTACGTTCTTCATATCATTCTTCTTGTCCTTTTGACATTAACCTTTTCCTTCCCAACCCCTTACCGCGATTTGCATACGCTGACAAGGATTCTTTAGAATAAGACAGTTCGCTGAATCTTGGCCGATTTGCATCGAGACATTTTTAGCATCGCTTAATCTTACATTATACATCAAACGCGCCCGAACCATCCGATCACTTAAAACTGGTGTGATCAAATTTGCATATTATCGACTCACGGTGAACGGAAGCGCATTCCTAATGTTGGAAAGCCACACTTCGCCGGGACGCTATAAAAGCAACTTAGGACGATTTCTATTCGAAGGTGGCGGTCGACATTTGGTAAGGCGAGGGTGGATGATGGATGGCGAGCAATATTTCTAATATTTGACATTAGGTGACGAATCTCGCTCACATCTTGGAAACGGATTTTAACGCGAGATTTCATTTCTGCACGTCGCGATTTTCTTGTATTCCTTACCGCGATTAGAGGATGTGCAATTGATTCTTTTTCACTTTCTTCCTTCGATAGGAAGAAACTAACAGGGCCTTTCTCTTTCTCTTTTTTTATTCTTATAACACAGAGAGTTATTTATTTACCTTCTTTTTCACTTTCTTCCTTTTCTTACTACGATAGCAAGAAACCAAATGGGCGTCGTTCTTTCACTTCCCCTTTTTTAATTCTTTTCAAGGTAGAAAGATAAGTTATTTATTTCCCTTCATAACTGACATATCCTTTCTTCCTAAACATCCTTATTTCTTACTTACATTATTTACAATATTCGGACTGTTATCTTCATTGCTATATTCACAACGTTTCGGCCGTTGTACACTCCGGCATTCTTCAGGTGATTGGAATTTAGAACCGAACTCTTTATTTTGTCCACCGGGGTAGATTTTTATTGTTCTATGTACCATGCCTCTTGTGGATGTCTCAGTTATTTTCCCTTTAACTCTCCAAGTTTGGTTCACCATAGCAGTGGTACTGAACTCAAAATCTTTGGGTCTTGTCAGTGGATCTAGCCAACGTCTTTATCGACTTGGTCATGTGTCCTTGAGGATATACGTGTATGAATCGTTAGGGCTTATAAAGCTAATGTGCAGAAACGTTGTTAATATGGCAATAAAGATGAGGTTAACAGTTCGAATAATGCAAATAATGTAAGTAATTATAATACCTGACCTCAGAGATATAGAGAGATCCTGAAGAAGGCCGGATCGTACAACGGCCGAAACTGTGTGAATATGGCAATGATGATGAGGATAACAGTTCGAATAATGTAAATAATGTAAGTAATTATAATAATTCATCTCAGAGATATCTTGATTTTTTATTTTTTCTTCTTTGCTAAAGTATTTATTCTTTCGGGCCTTCCTGAGTTTTTTTTTTCTTTTATTGTAAATGTCTCTTCTGACTCAAGCTTTCTTTTTTACTTTTTCTAATACTTTTCCTTCATGAATTAATACGTTGCTTTTCTTAATCTTTTCCTCTTATTTCTATTGTTTCCGTAATCTATTTTTTAATTGGGCTATCATAGAACTTACGGTCATATCTAGCTAATATAATTGTAAATTGATGTGACCTAATCGCCACTCCAGTAGAGCGCTTAAATTCAAAAAGTCTAGCTACCATAGAGAAGAGCTTATCTGTCTCTCTCAGTCTATTCATTTCTATCTATCTATCTTTCTATCTATCTATCTATCTATCTATCTATCTATCTATCTATCTATCTATCCCGATTTCTTTATGTTTATCTAAGTCGTTTTATTTATTATTTTTGTTTTATCTATCTATCTATCTATCTATCTATCTATCTATCTATCTATCTATCTATCTATCTCATTCTGTTCAAATCTATCTATCTCATTCTGTTCATATCTATCTATCTATCTATCTATCTATCTTTCTATCTATCTCATTTTGTTCAAATCTATCTATCTCATTCTGTTCATATCTATCTATCTATCTATCTATCTATCTATCTATCTATAAATATATATGTATGTATTTCGGCCTGTTCAGTATCTATCTACCGAATATATTATCTATGTATGTATGTATGTATGTATGTATCTATCTATCTATCTCAGTCTTTTCATTTTTAATTCAGTTCACCTCGAGCAAGGCAATAAAACAGGAAAACACTAGGGGTTGCTGGGTGTGGATGAGTTAGAAATTGGATTTGCGATAAAAGCATCTGTTAGCATAGAACTTACGGTTACATCGAGCCATTCCGACTGTAAATTGATGAGACCTAAACGCCAGTCTAGTATTGCGCTTAAATTCATAAAGTTTAGTTATCATGGTTAAGAGCGATATTTATTCCGTATAAATACAAAAATGTGGCACAAGGCCAAAAGAAGTGGGTTGGGGAAAGGATAGCCTATTTTTCTCTTCTAATTAAACTTAGCTTGCTACAATCAACCAAACCAACCATAATATTCATCACGCCAAAACAACACATTCTTACATACCATTCTTAATACGCCCACCATAAAAAACTCTGAATCTCCATGAAGACCTAACTAGTCCCCATATGTACAATTCTTGGCGAAGAGCATTATTAATTTGTAAAAATTAAAAAATGTGACACAAGGCTAAAATGGAGAATGGAGAAAAGGACAGTCTTCTGTCTTAAATTTAAACTTAGTTGGCAACTAACTATGACCCAAACATACCACAATATTCCTAACATGAAAACAACGTATTCATACTTACCGTACTTACTTCATCCACCATAATATCTCATTGTCTCTATGAAAGTCCTAACTAGTCCCCATATGTACAATTCATTGTCTGTCGGGGGAGGAGGGGAATAGAATAACTGCTTTTAAAAATCTAAACCCCAATGAATATTTACAAATGTGAAACAAAACTATATACAAAACCCAAAACAATGTAATATTAATAATAAATCTTTCCTAAATCCATAAATATGTCAGAAACACCAGTTTTACTGGACGAAATCAATTCAGGAAGAGCATTATTTATTTATAAAAATATTTTTGTTTTCTTTCTTTTCTCCTTTTATTCAGTCGGGATTTACTTCTTCTTTTTTTTTCCTGACACATTCTTTCTTTTTGTCCGTCTTTTGTATCTTTATTCTAGACCTTTTTTTTTTCTCACGCTTTTTTTTCTTTCTTTCTTTCTTTCTTTCTTTCTTTCTTTCTTTCTTCTACTTAACTTCATTCATGATTTTTTTCTCTCCTTCTTTATTGCAATATTATTTTATTCAATAACTCTTCTTTTTCTTGATTCTGAAAGTTTCGTTATTCAGGTGCATTTTTTTTCTTTTTTTTTCTTCTACTTTGCATCGTAATTGATTTCTTCTTCTTCTTCTTCTTCTTCTTCTTCTTCTTCTCCTCCTTCTTCTTCTTCTTCTTCTTCTTCTTCTTCTTCTTCTTCTTCTTCTTCTTCTTCTCCCCCCTCCGTTTTTTTTTTCTCACACCGACATTCTTTCATTCTTTCTTTCATTTGTTTCTTTCCCTCTTCTAATTTTCTTCTTCCTGGACCTTTCTTTATTTCTATAATTCTTATTTCTCTTAATTCTAAATTTTTATTATTATTATTGTACCTTCTTTCTTTCTTTCTTTCTTTCTTTCTTTCTTTCTTTCTTTTCCTGATTGTTTTGCTTCCTTTCGTTTTTTCTTCTATAGATTTTGTTCTTTCTCTCTTTATTTCCTGTATATGTGTTTGTTCTTTCTTTCTTTCTTTCTTTCTTTCTTTCTTTCTTTCTTTCGTTCGTTCGTTCGTTCGTTCGTTCTTTCTTTCTTTCTTTCTTTCTTATTTTGGCCATTTACCCATTTTTACTTACTCTCTCTATTTTTTTCTTTCTTCTACGATGCCTTCATTTTCCTCTTTTTCGCTTTCTTTCTTCATAGCCAACACTTTCCTACCGGTGACATCTATTTTCTAACTTGAAGCTTTATCCATTTCCCTCATGTTACGTTACGAATTGTACTTCATTCAGTTCTTTGACTATATCTACGAGCCCGACTGGCCTTATATTCGCGTCATTTTGATATACTGCATCTACCGGAATATGTCCCTATATTAAACAACTTACCGGACTTATTCAACATTTACAGTGAGGTTATTCTACGAGAATTAAAAGTCCTAGCAAGAATCATTATTAGTAATCCCAATCTTACCAGCATAAGATATGCAGATGATACAATGTTGATTGAAGACGCAGAAAGGAAACTGCAGGAACTCTTAAGCACGATGATAAAAGAAAGCTGGAAGAAAGATCAGTATCAATTGTAAGAAGACAGAATGGATAGTTGTCAAGAAAAGAAACGTACCATTATGGAAAATTGGAGATACCAAAATCCATCAAGTACAAAAATATAGATATTAAGGAAGTTTTTAAAAGAAGACGAAAAATATGAATATGGTACTGAAATCCGAAGACGCATTGAACGCCTGCAAACGGAATGCGACAAGAAAGTGCTAAACACCAATTTCAAGAAAGGCTTATGGCCAGATCACGTTAAAACATAGGTTCCTATACGATCAGCGTCGATCGTAGTGAATAAGTTAATGGGTGACCGTTTGGCATGTTCTTTTGTATAGCGGTATATCCAAACCGCTATGGTTTATTTAATGCCAAAATCTAAGTATTTTGTACGCAATTAATAGTAATCGTACAGTCCACGGTGGAGTAATGGATAGCGGCTCGGATTGATGAATCGGACAGCCGAGTTCGAATTCCAGTCGAATCCATTACATTCATAAACGTGGGAAAAGTATGAATCCTCTTCTTCTCCCCCCAGCTATGGGTAAATAGCAGAACAGACTGGGTTCTATAGACTTGGATGGCAACTGGTCTACAGCAGAAAGCAATCGCAACCTACTGTGGGAAAAAAATATTCTGCCTCGACAATCATGTATCGAAAGATACATGATCGCCTCAACGTTTATCACTCATGGCACATAACTGACTGAAATTCACTTACATTTCGGAAAGATATGAATCCTCTTCTTCTCCTCCCCAGTTATGTTTAAATAGCAGGACAGACCGGGTCCTATAGACTTGGATGGCAACTGGTCAAACGCAGAAAAAAATGGCAACCTACTGCAAGAAAAAATCTGCCTCGTCAGGCATGTATCGAAAGATGCATGATCACCTAAGCGTGTATCACGCATGGCATATAACTGACTGAAATTAACTTACGTACTAATCCCCTTGGGAAAAGCATGAATACTCTTCTTCTCCCCCAGCAGAACAGACCGAATTCTATAGCTTTAGATGACAACTGGTCTACAGCAAAAAGCCATCTTGTCACTGACCAAGCTCAACGTTGCTTAACTTCGATTCTACGGGAAACTGGTGTTTCAAAGGGATATGGCCTTCAGCCGTAATCGTTTGGGAATACTGTCAGCTTGGATATGTCTGATGGTGTAATGGATAATGACTCTGAATTGTTAATCGATGAGCTGAGTTCCGATTCCGGTTGGGTTCGTTAAATTCAGTTACCGTATTTTCCGGCTTACAAGACGCACCCTAATACTGGAAAGAAATTTCAAAAAAAAAAAAAAAAAGTCATTCTCATACAACATACATTCATCATGCGTCTCTCCATACGGACGACACGTATTTTTTACATTAATCACTCGTCCGATTTCGTTTGTGAAGAGTTGGAAATACTTGTAACCGCTAAATACTGAAATTATATGATATAAAAGGCTGAATTAGATAGATTGCTATAGTGTAATGCCTCAACATACAAATCCACGTCTCTATTCGTATTTTAAGTCTTCTGGAAGACGTACATGTATTTTTCTCGGTATTTTTTTAGAAAAAAAAGTGCGTACACGCAAATAATATTGTGAAAGTTATGAATTCAAATCTTCTTTCCTAGTTATGGGTTAATTAATAAGATTTGTATCACGAAACAATTATTATCTCTCCGACTAAAACTTTCTTACAATCTAAAAAATATTCTGATTTTAAATAACCTGCAAAGGGTTGATAATCCATAACAAACAAACAAATCAATCAATCAATTACAAGGAGGCAGCATATATGATTGTCAGCAAACGGAACAGCAAAAAATGCAAATTATAAATGCAAAAATCAAATTAAATATCTAGGAAATGTTTTAACAGAGAAAGGAAAGTGCTGTACCGAAATCTGAAGCCTCGTTGGGATAGTGAAATATGTTTTCCAAAAGTTATGGAAAATATCCAGAACCAGGGAAGTTCAGTTAGAAACAAAGAAAAGATTAGTCGGCAGGGTCTTCTCCATAGTGGTGAAAGCTGCACAATCTTCTTGTGGATGAAGAAGAGAATTAAAGCATCTTCATCAACGATCTTCTTTACGCCATTGATTCCCAAGTAGGCATCTACACAGACGATACTACAATTCACTCCTGCAAAAAAAAAAAAAAATAAAAATAAATAAAAAATAAAAAATAAAACTAGTGCCGTTGACAAAACTAACCTGGCCGTTCGTCTCGAAAAGGACCTCCAATCGGTTGTGAACTGGGGTAGTAATTGGCTGGTCAACTTTAAAGCCACCAAAACTGCTCTCACCTCAGAGATCCTTCCCTACCCGCCATTAGAATGTCTGACGCTCAACTTCCCGAGAGCACATCTCTGCGGCTGCTCGGTCTCACGTTGTCTACTGACCTGAGGTGGAACAAATACATTGAGTCAATTGCTTCGTCCATCGCAAGGCAAGTTGGCTCCTTGTGCCGTGCCAGGAAATTTTTCTCCCCGGAATCGATCCTTCAGATCTACAAATCAACCATTCGCCCTTGCATGGAGTATTGCTGCCATATATGGTCTGGAGTTCCTTTCTGTTTGTTTCAAGGGTCTTGATAAGACACAGAGACGGATATGCAATATAATTGGCCCTGGTCTGACATCTCGTCTGCAGTTGCTCTCTCACAGACGTGCCGTCGCCTCTCTGTCTTTTTAACAAATACTTTCATGTCAATTGCTCCGATGAGCTGCTTTCGCTGTTTCCCAGACTTCATGAATTCAAGCGTCTTACGAGGCTGACATCCTGCTCTCAACCTTTCACTGTTGAAACTGTTAAATGTAGTCGCTTCTTCTACTCAAATAGCTTCATACCTCGCACCTCTCGCCTGTGGAACACCCTTCTCAATTACTGTTTCCCTGATAGCTCTAATCCCCAACTATTCAAATTTAATGTCAATCGACATCTCCAGTTGCCTTGATCTATCCACTATCCTTCTCCTCATCCTTTCCTCTATCACTCCTGTCTGCTCTCGCTCCAAATCCTCTGTAACCCTTTGCGTGCTAGTGGCTTCCCGCCTTTCTAGGAGTGAAATGCTTAAAAAAAAAACCAACAGAAATGTACTTCTACAGAAAGATATTAACAGAAGTTTTAGAAAAAAATGGAAAAAAAATGAAACTTTTACTTAGCAACAGCTAAGATTCCTAGGGAAGGTGATGAAGAAAATGAACTTCGAAAGGTAGTCACATGCCGAGCATATTGAAGTCAACAGTGGAAAACAACGCATAATCTATCCAATGTGTCTCTGTAAATATCTCAGTTTTAGAAGAGACTAGCAGCATGACCCGTCGTTGGCCGGGCTTGATTCAAAAATCGTACGACTTATACAGCAATCGCTATCACTTGACTTAAAATATTTTTGCCCTTCCTTGTTTTTTTAAAGGAGTGCCCTTTGCCGTGCTGATGTTGCTACATGCCTTACTTCTTGCCTATCTCACACTGCGAATTTTTTCTAAGCTCTATACTAAACATTAAATCTGTTACGAAAAAAGAACTAAACAAAATGAACACAAAACGATCAGCTTTAAAAAAGGACTCGTAAATGGAAAAACCGAATGAAAAAAGAATGTTAACAACAAATACTTTTTCACACCCAACCCAGTTCTGCGGAATCAAAATCAACGTTGAGTTTAAGCAAACGAATGAGCCAATTGGAGTAAAGTGCCATGCAGATTTAAATTTTCCCCACTTTTGAAGAATGCAGCTATCGAATTTTTTGGCATGCTAGCATGCTAGTTAACATTCGTGTCAGTCATCTGTTGGCTCTCACTCTGGCCAATAGAATCTTTCTGCCTATTCGTGGCAGCCAGCTATAGGCTCTCACTCCGGCCAGTAGAAAATGGCCTCAAACTACATGAAAACTGCCGTAGAAGCATGAAAAAATCGATTATTTCCAATATTGATGGGAGTTGGGAAATGCAAAGTCGGTCTTGGCCTTCCCGCTAACTTGGAACATGTGCATGTCAATTTTGGTGCAAATCCGTCGAAGATTACGGCCGTGCAATCGTTACACACACACATCCTGCCTTTTATAGATAGAGATAGCACAAAGCCATGAGAGATACAAAGAACAAGTGATTGTCGCGAGTCATGAGAGTAAACGTACTAAAGGGGCATGCCACATAAAAAACGAAGCAGAAATATTTGGTGATAATATTATATTCAGTGCCTACGGATATCGACAAAGACACCAAAAGAAAATTGCGAGAAATATTAAATCATATTCGCAAAAGGAAAGCTCGAAGAATCGATGAGGTGTCTGCAAAAGAGATATCCCAAAGTGCGTGTTTGGAATCAGAGATGCAATTTATCAAGTGCAGAAATCTGACTCACAGGAATTTAACTTTAAATCGTAAAATGAAATAAAACCGAACACGTAACAAACCGGTATTGGAATAACGAATGAGGCCTTCCAGAAACAAAGAATTGTATTTAAAGATCGTTAGTACGACAAGCGGTGAATAAGTGTTTCGGTCCATATAATCATTGCATAGACGTTGTCTTAACGCATTTCATCATCATCAGGTCGATTATTCTTCATGGATTCTCCTAACTCAATTCCTTCCAACCATCTCTTTCTGATGTCGCTGCCGGACAGTTCTCCAGATAGCATCCAGAGTCATCTACACGTT